TCGGACCCAAGTTTGAAACATTGTTATCGGTGACGAAAAGAGAGTAACTCATCCAGAAAAAAATATGAAAAGCTATCATGTGAATATCATGCGAGGAACTCAAGAAACCAAACAATGCACCCATGAACAGCTATCAAAGACGAGATAGAAAGTACACTATATGAGCTATCAAAGGAAACAAGAAAGTGATAACTTATAAGATTTTAGCAAAAAAAAAAAGAGGGATTTGTTCAGGAGAATGCAAATGCACAAGCAACAAGAACAATGGAATTAGGAATTTCGAGAAGAGCAGGAAAGCTGAAGAGAAAGTTCATAGGGAAACAAATGAATTGCAGAAAACAAATTGATTTTTTTTAGATAGTTGATTTTTTTTACTTCAGGTCTCGAGATGCTGGAGAAGACAGAATTGAACCTCAAATGCCTCAAGAACAATGGAGATTCATTCAATTCATTGTTATTAATCATGCAACGGGTCTGTACCTGACAACATCGGTATTGCGTTTGGCGATGTAAGATTCAGTTTTTAGCATCGGAAATTCACTATCACCAAAAATCATACGATCAAGGAGGAGATGATAGTTGACAGAAAAGGTTATCCTCAGATCATCAAGGCATCGGAAAGTCCCGATGATTCATCGGAGAAGCTGCGGGGAAGAAATCATGAAATAAAAAACTATGACTTGACTGGATTCTGTAAATCAAAAGCGATTAAGGCGTGAAGAAGATGAGTGTTTACCTAGATCGTCGACGATCCAGCTTTCCAAATGAATCAATTCTGATTGGCAATAAGGAGCTGAAATCATGAGCATGTGATCTGTTTTGCCATTAAACTTGTTGCATGTGCTTGAAATTGAATTTGAGTTTGGTATTGGTTAGGATGCTTATGTTTTCACTAGAATTGCTCATTGTTCCATTTACTAGTTGTTCTTGGTTCAATTTGATTGATTAGCATCCTTTCCAGCTCTTAATACTTGAATTAGGTTTGGTTATACTCTGTTTTCACCTAGCTCGATCGAGTTTGTCACTCGAGTTTTTTGACTCGATCGAGCTGAGTGTCGAGTTGACCAAACCGATCATTACAACTCTAATTCTTTGTAATCTTTGATGCATTTCAGGTACTTTAGTGAAGAAACAGAGTAACAAGGATGACAAACAGTGAGGGAAGTCGTGCTTCACAAAGGAGGATGGTTGAGGGTGAATCAAGCAATGCAAGGGAAAGAAGGCTTAAGATGCAAGCCGATTTGAAGAGGATGGATCAGAGGATGGAAGAATCTGATGCAGAGGGATATGTGTACTCTGAGGAGGAAAGTCTGAGAGTGAGAGATTGAGGGAAGAAAGGAGGAACCCCATTAGTAGTGAGAGTGAGCAAGGGGAGTTTGAGATTGGAGTGAACCTTGTTCAAAGGAGGAAGGAAGTGATGAGACTGAGAGTGAAGAGGAAGGAGAAGAGGTGAATCAGTTGGTTGAGAAGTGAGCAAGAGTAACCAAGATGAACCTATGGAGGAAGTTGAGCCACAAGAGAGCCGCAAGAGGAGGAGGAAGAACTCCCTATGTACCAAGAGCATTACAATGCTCTTCTCCATGGACTTCATGGACACCAAGTACCCACATGTTGACACAATGAAGGCCCTTGGAATCTTTGAAGATGTGGAGTTTCTCAAGAACATGCACTTGGCCAAGCTTTTCTCTTATCACATGGAATCCTACAAGGAGCTCACTTGCGAGTTTTAGCTTCAATGAGGTACCACATGTATGAAGAGGAAGATAGAGCTGATTTGGACCAAGGATTGGGATGGATCACGTTCTTGGCTAAGGGAGAGAAGAGAATGGTGACCTTTAGGCAGCTGGAAATCTTGTTTGGGTTCAACTATGGAGAGGGTACCAAGTGGAACTTCAAGGAAAAGGAACTCCAAAGGGTTTGGGCTACAATCGCTGATGGAGTGTACTCTTCCTCAAGGTCCAAGGCAGCTCAGATCAGGAGCCCAGTCTTGAGGTATGTGCACAAGGCACTTGCCAACACCTTCTTTGCAAGGAAGGCGACCGGGACCATCAACGAGGGGGAACTCAAGTTTCTTGACATGGGAATCAAGCCCCTTCTCTCACGCACAAGCGATGGCAAGAGGATAAGGGGAGATAGATCTGACACAGGGAACTTGATGCCTTTCCTTGACCATCTCCTTACCTACAAGATCACAGCCTACAACACTAGACATCAACGAGGGAGGCGCCTAAGTGTTGGAGGGCTCATCACTCCTATCTTGTGTGCTGCTGGAGTGAACCCAACTGATAGGAGAGCCACTGAACCAGGTTGGATGGACATCAAGTTTTGCAAGACCAACCTTCTCATTGAGCACAAGGAGTTGGATGGGAGGTTCCAATTCAAGTTCACACATCCATTGGTTGGACCCTCCAAGTTTCTCCTGCCTAACCCAGAGCTCACCACAGTAGTAAGGGGTGAGAACATTGACTTCAGACCCCCTGTGTACACATTAGTTGGGCATGAGGATGATTCGCGAGAAGAGGAGCCTGAGCTCGATCGAGCTGAGTCTCGAGCTGAGGATCGAGCTGAGATCAGGTCCAGGGAGCGGATTTGGGTGAGCCTGAGTGCTATTACTTTGAGGAGTATGAGGCTCCAAGGATGAACCCCTCTGTTGTGGCTGCCACAAGAGGATTGGACTTCTCCAAAAGTTCAACAAATGGCAAGGGAAAGCCATTGAGAAGATGCAAAAGTCCATGGACAAGATGGTGAGCAAGATCAAAAGTTTGGAGAAGAAGGTTTCTGGTTCTTCAAGCAAGAAGAAGTCCAAGTCCTTAGGAGTAGCTCTCCACTGCCCAAGAGCCTCACAGAGCCTCTTCTTTCGAGCCAAGGGAAGGAGAAGACAACACGCAGAGAAGGAGGAAGACTTCCAAGGCCAGACGCTCCAGCTCGACCACCGGACTCGATCGAGTCCAAACAGAGGAAACTCAACTCGATCGAGCTGAGGGTCGAGCTGACCTGGAGGAGCCCCTGTTTGAGGACCCGGGATTTGAATACGATCCATGCCTTACCAGGACTCCCCGGAGTAGATGGAACCCCTATGGACAGTACGAGCTAGCAATGCTCCACCAAGGCCAAGGAAGCCACACACTTTGAGGAAGAGGAAGAGGAGAGCAAGCTCGATCGAGCTGCACAGACATAGTGAGTGGAGTGCTCCTGATGGCCGTCTACCATCTCCAGACCACGACCTAGTCTCCCAGTTCTTTGGGGGGCACTGAGGTATCCAAACACCAACCCTTGTATATACCATTTCATATTTTCTTGCATTTGTTTTTTTTTCTTGGTTTTGCCCTCTTGAATCTTTCACTAAATTTTTCTCACACAAGGGACTGTGTGATTTAAGTTTGGGGGAGGGTTCAAGAGATGATTTAACCTTGTTTTCTTTGTTCTTAGTTTTTCATCTTTTGCATAGAAAAACCAAAAAAATCATAAAATTTTCAAAAAATCCAAAAATATTTTCATCTTTTTGCATTCATATTTGTTAGACTTGTTTAGGATTGCATCATTTTTCACTTGCATTGTTGATTTGACTTTGAAAACTTGTCCATCTTTTGCGATTTCTTGAGTGCCCTGTTTTTAGATTCTTTTGTGCATTAGGGTGAGATTGATTGAGCAGCAAGAACCATGTTTATCTTGATCATATCACTGCATGCACATCTCATTCAACCATTGCTGTGATTTGATGCATTTCCCTATCTATTTGAACCATAACTTGATCTTTAATTACCAATGCTTGCATTTGATTTCAACTCATGGCTACCACATACATATCTGGACATTCTATTCACTTTCATATCCCTTTGCTTGTCCAGATAGCTGATCTCTATCTTTGAGACAGTTACCACACCTTAAACCTAAGCCTTTTTCATTTCAAACCCCTTATTATCTCTTGTGCGAATGTGAGAACCTTTCTTGGCTTTGCTTAGCATAAGGTGTTGTGTTTAAACCGGCAGGGGCAGTAGTTCTAGTTGTCTAGTTCTCTTGGGATTGTTTTCAGGCTAAGTTTGGGGGTGCCAACTCGAGCTCGATCGAGTTGGGTGTCAAAAACCAGAAAAGTGGTAAAAGTTGGGAAAAATCCAAAGGAAAAAGAGTTTAGTTAAGTCCAGGGAGTTGGCAGTGTTAAAAGGGTCTAGTAAAGGTTTGGGAAGTTAAAAAAGGAAGTAAAAAGGGTTCTAAGCCACGAAAAAACCACCAAGCTTTAGATTATTTTGTTTTAGTTTCTTTTAATTTATTGTCTTTTACTTTTTAGAGATCTAATCCCATCTTTGTGTTCTTGAAGCTCTTGCTTCTTGAATCTTAGATCCTGGATAATCTCTCTTGTATTTGCACTTGCTTATTTCAATAAAAGTTGTTTAATTTCATCTCCTCTTTCTTATGATGTCTCTTTTATTGCATTTGCTTGTGTTTACATTCATGTGTAGTGAGTAGTTACCCATTGGGGTTTGAGATGGGATAGATTAGAGGTTTCATATGCTTAATCCTTCTAGCTTATGGTCTTAATCTAGATTCTCTCTCTTTTGGATAGATCTTAAGGCTACATGACCACTACCCCTGGCTTGTAAGTCCTTAGGCGACTCCCCACACGAAAGTGATGGCATTCGCTGGAAAAGATCCACTAAGAGCTCCAATATCTCTTGCTCTAGACAATAGAGGTCTAAGGGGTTGGATGGATTAGTTTGGGCAATGATCCTATAGCCTCCAAGGTTTGATTCTCACTGGCTAACCCCCTGTTTCTGAGATCATTCCTTGGTTGATAGCCTCCACCTTGGGAAAGGGTTGGCTAGGCATTGAGAAGCCCAATATCAAGAGAAGCCTTGATACAAGGAGTTTTAAGAGCTAGATTGATTAAGTGTAGATTCCTTTGATTGCAAAACCCTGTCTTGAACCCTAATTCTCTCTTTATCTTGTTAAAGTCGTCACCTTTAGCTTTGTTTGTCTCAACTCGTCCCTAAACTCGATCGAGCTGGTACTTTGCTCTAGCTCGACTCGAGCTCTTGGTCGAGCTGACACTTCACTGCTTTGTTTACTTTTATTGCACTGCTTTTCATTATTTAGGTTGTTAGTGTTACTTCAAATCCATAACTGCTTGCTTGACTTCCTGGTTGTTTCATATTCTCATAGAGTGACAAGTTTCCCATTTTGGATTGATAACCCTTTGTACTACAACTATCATGGTTAAAGGGAATTGTTGATGTGTTTGTGTTTGCATCTTACCACCATCATATACCACTGATTGCATTCCACTCATCTCATTTCATTTCATATCTTTCCACTTATACACACAAAAACCTTTCATCAGGCAGCTGACCATGTTATCCTCCGAGTCTTCCTCCCTTCATGCACAGCCTCCTCGCTGCCAATCCGGTTGGGCTCTGACGTGCGAGAATGCGCTTGACTACACCTTCCTAGACAACATGTGGTTAGACACGCCACATGTTCTCAGTACTTAGCATATGGGCCTTTACGCACCACTATGCCTCATACCACCGGTTCTGCGGCAGAGCTTCCCTTGCCTCGGAAGAGTACCCACACGAACCTCGAAAGATCTGGCGGCTCAGCCGTCCGTGATCTTTCCACATCGGAGTCATACTCAACATATGGGCCTCACGCACCACCATGTTAGTATGCACTCGAGGTTTAGCGGCATAGCCATGCTATAACCCCACAACCGATGCATCTATGAGATTTGGCGGCATAGCCATCCACAATCTCACATCACCTAATGTATAGATATGCATCTACACTAACAAGATCTGACGGCATAACCTTCCCCGAAGGTCACCCATCACAATCTTACACAGAAAAGAGATCTGTTGGCATATCCTTCCCCGAAGGTTACCCAACACAACCTCACACACAAAAGAGATCTGGCGGCCTAACCTTCCCCGAAGGTTACCCGACACAACCTCACAACACAAGAGATCTGACGGCATAACTTCTCTCCCTAGAAGATTACCCATCACAACCTCACAACAATGCAAACCTGCATATGAACACACAAGAGATCTGACGGCATAACTTCTCTCACTAGAAGATTATCCATCACAACCTCACAACACATATATAAATTTCTGCAGCATAACTCTCCACAAGATTTTTACTAAACCTTATTGTTTAGAGAGTTATCTACAGCATAACACAATTACTAAACCTTATTGTTTAGAGAGTTATACTACAGAACCAATAACCAATATGAACAGAAAGCATCTCCCATGCTTTGGTGTTCATACAACCTGCATACACACACAAAGATCCAAAATACTAAAACTATAACACCAAGACTCACCACTTTAAGAAGACTTCAAGACCCTCCTAGCTTTCCTTAAGCTTTGATCTTGACCTACTCTAATCTTCCACTAACCTCACTTAATTAAGAAAACTTTCTTAATTACTCTCTAATCACTTTTCAGGTGCTCTCTAGCTTTGGGAATGGAATGGTTTGGACTTGGGGTGGAGGAGCGTATTTATAGGAGTTCAGGAGGCTGCCTGGCTTCTTGAGACGTTCCCAGTCGTTCATAGACACATGGAGACCTAGGCCTAGCATAGCTTTGCTTGGTGGCAACCTACACTGCCTCAGAACGCGACATCCAGGCGGTCTAGGCTAGGTAGCTTTGATTGGTGGCCTCTAGGGCGTCTCAGGACATGACACACGTCATTCCTATCCCCTCTCAATGCTCATCCAATAGGCCGACTTCCCCCAAGCATGTGGTGTAGTCGTGCCATTGGATATAACCCATCTTATCCATTAAGATGCTGGGTGCTTCTGTCTGATTGGTCAGCTCTTGATCCAATCCGTTTCTGCATCTTTCCACTTGCTTCTCATCCACTCCTGAAGCTTCTCCTCTCTCTCAGTGGTTGGTGTTGCATCCTGATTCGTCCAAGTCAATTTCGTCTCCATTGAGCACTTCTGTGTCTCCGTTTGATTGGTTTGGACAATCCTTGTCTTTCATGAGCAGCTGGGTGTCTCTCCCTGATAGCATCAGATCTTATTGGAGCTTATCCACGTCCTCTCTCCTCCATAGCAGCTGGTGTCGTTGCCCAATTGGTTTAGACTTGCTTCGTCTTCATTCGGTAGCTGGATGTTGCTACATGATTGGCTGAATCGTTTTTGCTCCATCTGAGTAGCTGAGTGTCTCCTCCATACTGGTCTAGCTCATCCTTATCTTCCCCAAGTAGCTGGTGTCACCACTTGGTTGGCTTAGAACAAGATTGCTCCAAATGTACGTTTCCTCGTCCAGAGGGTTTCGTACGTTTCCCTGTTTGGAGGGTTTCGTCCCCGTCGTGCTTCTCCCAATCTGCTCGTCCAATTTGCATTCTGCTTCGACCAAAATTCTTAGAATGGTCTCTGATGTTGTCCAAACTCTTCTTTTCTTGATTTGGAGAACTTTGATATTTCGCCGTTCAGTCGGCTCTTCCCATGTTTGCACAATGATCGTCCCACCTGGACAATCTTGTTGTATCTTCAGTTCTGCTCGATCGTTCTTGATCCTGTCTTGATTCAAGTCTTCGTTGTGATCTCTGGATCAGATCCCACGTCTTTGTCTTCCAATCCCAGAGTGTTGATTTTCCCATCCCGGCCTTTGGGATGTTTTAGGTCTTGATACGGGGTATCACAGTAGTGGTCATGTAGCCTTAAGGATTATCCAAAAGAGAGAGAATCTAGATTAAGACCATAAGCAAGAAGGATTAAGCATAAGAGACCGCTTATCTATCCCATCTCAAACCCTAATTAGGAAACTACTCACTACACATGAATGAAAACTCAAGCAAATGCATTGAAATAGACATTAAATGAAAGAGGAGATAGAGATAAACAACTTTTATTGAAATAGCATAATGCAAATACAAAGCTTATAAACCATGATTTAGGATTCAAGAAGGAAAGAGCTGAAGAACACAAAGATTTGGTTTTAGAGTTGCAAAAAGTAAAAAGCAATAACTAAAAGAAACCTAAAACAAAAATAAGCTAAAGATTGTTGTCTTTTTCGTGGCTTAGAGCCTTTAAATACAAAGGAGATTAGGTTTAGGGTCAAAGGAAAGTCAAGGGGGAAGCAACATTTTTCAGGTTTGACTGTTGACTTCTCAGCTTGATCGAGTTGAAGCTTGGCCGGTCGAGTAGGTGGTCGAGCTGGTCTTCAAGATGACTTCCTCTTCTCCCATTGCGTGTCCAGTTAAGCTGCGTCCATGCACCAAGTCCTTCCTTTCTCCTTACGTCCCATATGCTCCAAAGTGCTCCAAAAGACCTACTTCAAGGACCAAACATGCACATATATGCAAATGCAACCTAAAACTACTATGAATGCACAAGAAGGGAAAAAGAACAAGATATGATGCTAATGGAAGCTAAAACTATGCAAAAGATGCATAAAAGATGTACTAAAACTATGTAAAATGCAAGTACATCAGTTCTCCTCCCCTTCCTGATCCTTAACTAGAGATTTTCCAGAGACATAATTGATATGCTTAGCCTGAAAATGAGCCAGGATCAGTTTGTCCAACTTCGAATTGAGTGCAAGCATGTCTTTTCGCATCTGTGCTTCCAGCTCGATCGAGTGCGCGGTCGAGCTCCAGTCTGTACTGTCACAATTCTGTCCATAGCAATCACTTGAGATGGCCATGTTCTCCACAAGCTGCCAACCATCATCCACATCCTTTGATTAAGGAAGTTTCCATTGCTGGCTGTGTCCAACATCTCTCTATACCTTGCCAAACAACCTCTATAGAGAGTAGAGAGCAAAGACTCATTGTTGAATCCATGATGTGGGCACTGACTTGTGTAGCCCTTGAACCTCTCCCAAGCCTCAGAAAAGTCTCATTGTTCCTCTGTATGAAGCTGATATCTCACTCCTTAGCTTGGCTGTGCGACCGGTGGAGAAAAACTTAGCAAGAAAGGCCTTCTTGCATTCATCCCAAGTGGTGATTGTGCCATGGGGCAAGCTCTTCTCCCATTGGTGAGCTTTGTCAGCTAGAGACATAGGAAAGAGTCTCAGCTTGATGGCATCTTCAGAGACACCATTGATCTTTGTCAAATCACATAACCTATCAAACTCATCAAGGTGGTCAATGGGGTCTTCACTTGGCAATCCATGGAACATCTTGTTCTGCACAAGGTTGATCATTCCCAGCTTGATCTCAAAGTTGTGGTTCTGCAGGTGGTGGAACAATCCCTTGTCTCTGTTGATGGCGGTTTGGAGCATCTCCTAGACCAATCGGTCGAGTTTGCCTAGCTCGACCGAGTCCATTGCCCAAAGGGTTTCCATTCCCCTCTGGTACATCCATTGTATCAGTAACAAGCACCTCAGGTTCCTCTTGTACCCTCTGAGTTCTCTGACTTCTCTTTCTACCCGTGTAAATCTAGCTCGACCAAGTCTTCTGTTGTTCGACTCGATCGAGTTCGCATACACCTGCAAAATGAGACAAAAACCCAGCAATACAAGAACAGGGGTGGGATAGCTTGATCGTCCAAGTGTATTGAAACTCAAATGCAACAATATTCAACCCAAATGGCAACGGCGCCAAATTGATGATAGGATTTTGTGTGGATGTGAAATATGAAATGAATGAGGTGGAATGCAACAGTGGTAATGAAGATGGATGGTATGGTGCAAACACAATCACAATCAATAATTCCCTTAACCATCATAGTCATTAAGTATAAGGGTATCAATCCAAAAGGGTGAAATTGTTACTCTATGAGAATATGAAACACAAGGAAGTCAAGCAGCAGTAAATAGATGATAGTAACACTAACAACCTAATGAAATGAAATGCAAATGCAGAAGTAAAGAAAGCAGTAAAGCAAGCAGCTCGACCAAGGACTCGAGTCGAGTGGGAACAGAGTAACCGAGCTCGATCGAGTTGAGGGTCGAGTTAGCGTAAAAAGCGATAAAGGCAACTTTAACAAGCTAATGCGAATATTAGGGTCTAAGACAGGGTCTTACAATCAGGGAAGCTATACTTAATCAATCTTGCTCTTAAACAACTTGTATCAAGGTATCTCTTGATATTGAGCTTCTCAATGCCTAGCTAACCCTTTCCCAAGGTGAAAGCTATCAACCAAGGAAGATCTCAGAAACAGGGGGTTAGCCAGTGAGAATCAAGCCTTGGAGGCATAGGATCATTGCTCAAACTAATCCATCCAACCCTATGAACTCCATTTCGAGAGCAAGAGTTATTGGAGCTCTTAGTGGACCTTTTCCAAGCGATTTCCATCACTTCCATGTGGAGAATCGCCTATGACATACAAGCCAGGGGTAGTGGTCATGTAGCCTTAAGGATTGTCCAAAAGAGAGAGATTTCTAGATTAAGACATAAGCAAAAGGATTAAGCATATGATCCCCTAATCTAGCCCATCTTAAACCCTAAGGGTAACTACTCACTACACATGAATGAAAACACAATCAAATGCAATGAAATAGACATTAAGAAAGAGGAGAAAGAAATAAACAACTTTTATTGAAATAAGCAAGTGCAAATACAAAGAATATCCAGATCTAAGGTTCAAGAGCAAGAGCTCAAGAACACAAAGAGAGGATTAGGGTTGCTAAAAAGTAAAGATACAAAATTAAAGAAAAGCTAAAACAAAATAAGCTAAAGCTTGTTTTTTTTCGTGGCTTAGAGCCTTTAAATACAAGAGGATTAGGTTTAGGGTCAAAGGGAAGTCAAGGGGGAAGCAACATTTTTCGGGTTTGACTGTTGACTTCTCAGCTCGATCGAGTTGAAGCTTGGCCGGTCGAGTTGAGGAACTCGACCGGTTGGTCGAGTAGGTGGTCGAGCTGGTCTTCAAGATGGCTTCCTCCTTCTTCCTTTGCGTGTCCAGTTGAGCTGCGTCCATGCACCAAGTCCTTCCTTGCTCCTCACGTCCCATATGCTCCAAATGCTCCAAAAGACCTATTTCAAAGGACCAAACATGCATATGTATGCAAATGCAACCTAAAACTACTATGAATGCATAAGAAGAGAAAAGGAACAAGATATGATGCTAATGGATGCTAAAACTATGCAAAAGATGCATAAAAGATGTACTAAAACTATGTAAAATGCAAGTACATCAGATCTCTGATACAACAAGACACTCAGTCTTATGTGAATCTCACACAATAAGAACAGAGCAAAGGTTTCTCTCAAGACAGTGCTTGAACAAGAACAAAACTCAACTTTATTAAAATGTATATTCAAGGGTGATTTACAATGAAAACGAAACTGAGACTATAATTATATAGGCTCTAGTACAAAGGTCTAAAGCTAAAATAAGTAAACAAATCGCAACAATGAAGGAGCAATGAGCCGTTGGAGGCTTGATGACCAAATCGGACCAAATAAGGAAATTTGGAGGCTCCTTGTATCTTGATAGCTTGGGCGTGAAGGAGTGGAACCTTGGGACGTCTAGGTTCAGTGAATGAGCTTTAAAAACGCAGCAGCAAAGAAGAAAGAGCCGTTGGTGACTTATGGCTCTAAGTGTGAACGCATCCAGAAAAGAAAAGTTCACAAATATGAGAATTCGCCTGATTCTGTGGGTGCTGGTGTATGGGAAGATGATAGAGACACTTCCTGAACGGTTGGATGGATCTTCTGGAAGCGTAGATATCTCTTCTGGTCGCTAAAGTCGGGTTTGTAACTGATTAAACCGTGAGCTTCCAAATAAGGCAAGTGGAGAATCATCTGGTTTGAAAGTTGAATAACTCTCAAACAAAACCGGCTATTGGTATGAATCCAATCTGAAAAGCTCCCAGATTGAGTCAAGATTCTATACCAGGTCGGTTTATAGCTCAATTCCTTCTGGTCTGATCGAAAACCTCCAATTAGCACGCCGGGGTCCAAATCAGGAAAGTTCCGGTTTACCCGATTTGTAGAATCGATAACTCTTAAACCAAACTGAATTTGGTCACGAATCCAATTCGACGTCTTCCTCTGATGAGTTAATAATCTAAAACAGTTGTGTTTGTGGCTTAGATCCTCCTGTTTGGACCGTAATGATTCGATGAGTTGACCTATGTCTCCTGCGGGTCCATTGAAGACCTTCCAGAATGTATCTTCTATATCTCCTTCATCTGGAATCCTTTTTGGTTGATTCTTCTTCGAGATGAACTCTGTATGAGTTGAGTATGTTCTCCAAGTGTTGTTTGAGCTTGGATGTTTGATGTCGGCCTCTAGTTGAGCTAGACACAGCTTGCTTGTCTCCTTAATTAGCTCTCCTCAGGTTCATGCTCTCCTCCTCTGGGCTCTGGATTCCGTGCTCCTCAGATGATGATGACTTGATGTCCTCATCAGCACTCCTATATAAGAAGCTCAATATTGATTGAACAGCACACAACCAATTCCTCTCTTGTTTTCTTCTTCTTCTATAATGTATAGTTCGTTCTTTGATGAGGAATATTCTCGAATGAGAGGGAATAAACATTACTTGTGAATAGTATATTTTTTAGAGAATTAAGAAGAGTTTTTTTTGTTGGAAGGCCGGTATCTGTTTCAATTTATACATGTAAGAATAATAACCACTCGATTAAAGAACCACTGGATTTTAATTTTCAAACACCGAAACACACAAATTTTTATTTATTTTCGTCATACATTGTAATTATGGATTTGGATGATCTAGTTCATCCTTGTAATCATCAAACAAGATATTACAATCTATAGATTTTATATAGAGCTTCTGATTCGGAATATCAAACCCAACGTTAAGATCTTGAAACGCCATAATTCCAATGTAATTTCTTCCATTTACTGACTCATCCACAATCAGACAATACACGTCACGGCGCATCTGGTAGAATAGCTTCCTCTTAGGAAAATTGATTGTTACATTGCCAATTCCGAGGCTCAGGTTTATTCCCAGGTTTTTTGGTATCTTCCCGTTGTAACATAACAATGGATTATAATCCGTCGTGTACGCGTTTTCATAAGCCACCATTTTTTCTTTGATATTTCCAATGACAGCATGGTATGCATTTGAGACCAAAGAAAGAGCAGAATGTCCTGTGTCCATTATTGTAAGGGACATGGACAACAGAATATCTAAACCTAGATTTTGTTCATTGATGGCTATTGAGGTCATAGTGACATTAAGTAGATTTCCTAGTGCTACAGTCGGTCCAGACAATACTGCACCATCTCCTAAAGCGAGAAACTCATTTGTTCTCTGAAACCTATTAAGGTTTCCTAGGCAGATCGAGAATGTTTTATTAAAGGAACTAGTTATGGACAGATCACCCGGAGCTAACCCTAGGGTGCCCGTCCCCGCTAGCTGCCCTCTGATCATATTTCCAATGCCAAAAACTACGTCCTTTAACGAACTTATACCCCTATTCCAACTTTCGAAAGTAAGGGTTTCTGTACCTAGGGTACCTCTTACCAATGAATGGTCCACAAACCTTTTTTCGAAATCACATCGTCCCTTCATCGCACCCGGAGTCAATGAGGCTGATCTTAATCCGAGACAACTTCGATACCGAAACGATGATGACGCCAACGGATTATAGTCGGAGTGAGGATTCTGGAGGACATAAGTGAGATCAGTACCGCTGTCGATGTGCAACCTTTGTTGAATCATTGGATACCCTATCGCCATGTGCGCATAGATGGCCGGGGGATCATTATGAAATTCAATCGTTAAAACCTTTTTCCGATCATCTGTGTCAAAGGTTTCTATAGGCAGGAATTGAAAGTGAAAGCTTGAAAGAAGAAAGAACAAGAAAAAGTTTATCATTTTGAGAGATAAGATGATCTGGCGTTTAATTAACAAGATACTTTGGAAGGCATGTGGAGGTATGTGTGTGTATATATATAGTTTATAAGTTATTATGAAAATATATTCAAGAAGTGTTGTTTGACAACATTTTTCGAAATGATGTCATATAAGATTTCTAAAAATGTTGTTAAACAAAACGCCTTAATGTATTCACGTTATTACCGTGACTAATGTCGTAGGTATACCACGCTTCTAGCCAGTGGCATGCGAAGTGCCATGCGAAGGTCAATGGATGTTTAAGGCAGACTTTAATTATGAATGGGGTTTTTTATATGGGAGAGTTGGTTTTAATATTATAAAAACTTTTCCTAATCTCAAACTAATTCATGTTTAAAAAACTTTGAAAAAATAATATTTTTAATAAATGAAATGAACAATAAAACCATTATTCAGTTTTTTGAAATTATAAATAAAAAGCAAAAAGATAAGGGAGAGTTGGTTTAATATTATAAAACTTTTCCTATTCTGAAAACTAATTCCTTTTTAAAAAACTTTGAAAACTAATCTTTTTAATAAATGAAATGACAATAAAACCATTATTCAGTTTTTCAAAATTATAATTAAAAAGCAAACAGAAAACTTAAAAAATAAAAAATATCTTAATTTTCAATATTTTAAATTTCATATATATATATATATATATTAGTCATTATTAGTCATATATAACCACAATATTAGTCATTCTCATATATGATTTAAAATATTTTTCCTCTTTTCTTGTGATTCATTACAAAATTTCATGATACATTTTGCTTCACTCTGTCTCTATAAACACCAAAAATATGCATCATTTTTGTTAAAGTAAAAATATGCAGCATTTTGTAACAAATATTCATGGTTCACTCTCTAAAAAGCTTATTAGATGTTTTAAGGTTAAACTCAGGCTATGTATTTAAATTTCAAATCAGATCTTCATAATATCCTTTTTTTCTTGTTGAAATTTTATCTCAATAGTATTTTTTTGAATTATGTGAACCAATTATTTTTTCAGTTTAAGTAATATTAAATTCGGATATTAAATAAATAAATAAATAAATTTGAAACAATTTTGTATCTAAAAAACGGTATTTTAGTAATTTTGGTAATTAAAAAGGTTAGTTTCCAAACATTTTAAAAGAGGGGTTAGTTTTCAAAATATTTGTAATTTATGTAATATTAGTTCAAATTTCCTCTATAAAATATATATATATATATTTTTTGTTCATATATGATTATATTTTAATTCAGATTCTCTTAATCTATGAATACAATTGAGTTTTCTCTGAGGGAAAACAACATAGGATCTTTCCCTCGTGGTTTATCACTTATGCTTCAATCTGTCGTAAGTTTATATGCCTTTTATGGTTTTGTGTCCGTCACTCTGTCTATTTAAGTATAACTCCTTATTTGATTATTGGTTGTTCATGCAAAATGTATATACATTATGGATCCTTTTGAGCCATTAAAGTATGAGAAAATTACAGTCAAAGGCACTTTATCAAAATGTATTAACACCTAAAGGCACTTGTTGCTCCCTATGACTTTGCCTACTTTTTGTGTGAAACAAAATTCCAACTATGCCCTTTCTTTAATCTGGACACCTTCTCTCCCATTTTTTACCATGTGATTTTACCAGAGAAAAAAGTGTCTTTTTTATACTGGAAATCTGACCGCCGAAGTAGCCGGAGGAACAAAACACGGAGACGCCTCCAATTATGCAGCGCCGATGAGATACCTGTTATGGAAAAACATGGGCTGGTTAACTATCCCTGCCCTTTAAACTTAATATAAAACTCTGCACCTCCAAATATGGAACTAGATTGACTCTTAACATTTTCGTCGCTGGGCAAGCTCTATAGCGTTGGGTGAAGACCATACAAAATACTAACCAATAACACTCGTACAGATGCGAGTAACCATACATGATTAATGATGCACGCTTTTTCAATTAATGGACTTACTCCGTAAAGATCATGGTTTTTCAACCATAGATAGCACATCTAGGTATGTGTACATGTACAAATGGATTAACGTCCGTGGATGCGCTAGCATGGATACCTGATTTTATACTGACCCTTTGTAGTTCTAGACCCCCAATTTTAGATTTCATTTAATACAAAGTATATATGTACATATACCTATATTAAGGTGTCCAGATTAAAGAAAGGGCATAGTTGGAATTTTGTTTCACACAAAAATTCCACCTATGACTGTTACAGAAGAGAAGTGACAGATTAATCACCTAGCAGTCCTTAAAACAGAGAACTAAACGGATGTCTTCACCTTCCTCGAACGACGGTGGCATGGATATGACATGGCATGGATACATGTTCTTACACTGACCTCTCGTAGTTCTAGACCCCAAGATTCATATTTCATTTGTACATATTTATATCCGTATCCTTGGTTATATTACATCATGGATGATATGGTATGGATACCTGTTTTTATACTGACTTTTCGTAGTTCTAGACCCCCAGTTTCAGATTTCGTTTACTACATATGATATATGTGTACATGTGCAGCTGGATTAACGCGTGTGGATGCTACGGCATGGACACTATCTTTTGCACTGATCTCTCGTAGTTTAGCCCCACTTTCATATTTCATTTACACAAATAATATATGTGTACATGTATAGCTAGATTAACGCGCATGAATGCTATGACATAGATATCTGTTTTTACACTCACCTCTCGTAGTTCTAGACCCACAGTTTTATATATGTGTACATATACAGCTAGATTAACGCCCGTGGATGCTATGGCATGGATACATGTTTTTACTATCATTACCTTCCATAACTGTTACAGAAGAGAAGTGACGGATTAATCGCCTAGCAGTCTTTGAAACAGAGAACCAAACGGCTGCCTTCGTCGAACGGCGGCGGCACGGCATGTATACCCGTTCTTACACTGACCTCTCGTAGTTCTAGAACCTCAGTTTCATATTTCATTTGTACATATTTATATCTGTATCCCTGGTTATATTACATTGTAGATGATATGGTATGGATATTTGTTTTTATACTGACCTCTTGTAGTTCTAGACTACATGTTTGATACTATGATTTTACTATCAATTATCCTAAAGCAGTGTATCTATCGCAGTAGTACTTTAGATATCAATCCAATCAGGTGAGATGCTAGCAATCAAGATATGACAGAACTACTCAATTCAAGCCAAATCTATCAGGTGGTGCTGACAGTGAACAAAAGAGATCGAGTGCAATATGAATGTAATCGAGCTGAAACAATATAATGACGGATGTGAATATCAGAGAAAGATCAAGCTCCTAAGGATGGGGTAATCGAACTGTAACTACTCCTAACATGATCTCGTCGCTTAACAAACCTCAAACACGGGCTAGATCCCTCAACAACGAACTCGACAGACAAGATCAATTCGCTTTCACGAAAGAGATCAACAAACTAGTGAATTCTCAAGACCTAATCATCATTAGCGAAGAAACATAAGAAAGCATTAAGTTCGGATTCGATAGAGTCGAAATACTCTCTAGACATCTAATCCCTTAGGCTAGAACAGTAAATCTCTGGATCAGCTGGTTCAGACATCTCATCGAACGCCTCATGAACGTGGAAATGTCTAAGATCCAGATCCAGTT